ACAGCACCCCGCACACTGCGTTGCTCTGGAAATATACAGAGAAGGAGGGAAGGGTGCACCCTCGGGAAGCACGGAACCCACTGGCAACCGGGTTGCTAATTAATTGTGGGAAGGTGGCACTCTTCAGAGGAACCTAGAATACCAGCCACACCACCCTCCAGGGTTTTCCAGGGGGAAAATGACAGAGCTGATATCTTCCTTCCTTCCTCGGAGCTTGGCATCGCAGCCTGAAGGCCCAAGGTGTGGGTAGGCCCCCATGCTGCCTTTGCCTCTGCCTCACTGGGCACACATGAATGAATCCCCTCACCACTCTGGACTTCAGTTTCACTCTCCAGAAAGAGGCAACTTGATTTTTACCCTTAAAATACTTTCAACTTCCAATGCCTTACAATTCCAGGGCTCTTTCCTTATCATTAAGGGGCTCTTGTGGTGCTGTGGGATAAATGAATGGATGCTAACCTGAAGGTCTGAGGTTCAAACCCACCATCCACTCCTTGGGAGAAAGATGAAGCTCCCATAAAGATTTACAGTCTTGTAAATGCTATCTATACAGGATCACTGTGAGTTGTAATCTACTTGATGGCAGTAGGTTTGGTTTTGGTTTTTAGATTTCTTATCATTGTCTTGAGACCCCAGGTCTTACAGCCCAGAGTCTCCCTAGCTTAGAGTCCTTAAGGCAGGGCTGCTTGGGATAGAACCAGCTTCTGAAAAGCCTGACTGAGGAGCAGAATTCTGTGGTCAAAGAGTGTGCAGACGGACAAGGTGAGCTGTGTTGGGAGATGCTCGACCTGAGGCCTGCCCCACCTTAAACAGGACACCTTCAGAGTCACTGAAGTGTCTATGACTAAGCCAGGAGCCTTGGGGAGGATGGCCTCCACAGCCCCTCCCCTGAGGGCTCTAAGATCCTGCAATTGGGCCTGGAGCCTCAGCCACACTGGCCAGATCCACAGAATGACGGTTGTGGAATCCTTCCTTCATAAAGAAAAAATGCCAATGTTATTTTAAGACTGCCATGGCATCAAGACAAACACAACTCAAGCTGAATTCATTTTAATCTACTCATTATTATTATTATTATACTCCTTTTTCTTTCTTCTGACTTTTAAAAGAAATTGAAATTAGAACATTTTCTCAGGCCTCTAAAAAAGATTGAGGGTCTCCCTGCCCACCTGTTGCACCTGCTGGAGAAGGAGGCCCCGAGCTTGGCCACACCTGTCACCCAACTTAGTCCTGCTTCTCACTGCTCCCCCAGGCCAGGGGGTCATAAGCATTCTCAAAAGTGTGCACTCTGCTCCCCTGCTTGTCCACTCAGCAACCAGGGGTTTCTGGGATACAAGGATAAGGAGGTAATGAAATGGAAGAACAGAAAGAGAGTGGAGTGAAAGCTCATTTATAAAGCACAAATACCTTAGCTCAAGGCAGTTTTTAAATAATAACTCAGGTTGGGTACTAACTCAGGTTGCAGAAACCTGATCACTTGCCATGGGCTAGTCACCCACTTCAGCCCCGCCCAGTCATAGTATAGGTGGTAGGGTTAGGGGAGAGGGTGCTTAAATATATTGATTATTTGTTACATGCAAATCTTGAGTTAAGCCATATTGTCTCAAGAATCCTGTTGTTTTTGTAGTCCTGGTGTGGTGCTGTGGGTTAATGCTGTGGACTGCAAAGTCAATTTGAACCGCAAGGTCAGTGGTTCAAGCTCACCAGCCGCTCAAGGCTTTATTATTATCTTCATTTCATAGATGAGGAAAATGAGGCTCAGAGAAGTAAATAACTTGGCCAAATTAGCAGCAGGAACCACCAGATACTGACCCAGGACTCTCAATTGCCAAAAGGCTGGCCCAGAGATGCTGTAAAGTGCTCTGTGGGCTGGTCCACAGACCCAGTTCAGTACCAGTGCCTTCCTTCCTGTGCCCCAAATGCTGCTAGGAAGCCAGTTCCCAGCTCAACAGCAGGAAGTAGGCATGGCTCCTACTTGTTTCCTGTCTTGGAAGGCTCTGCCAGCCTGGTCAGAAAGACTTGACCACAGCTGCCACCCAAATTGGCAGGAAATTCAATTTCCCACCACCACTGCCAGGCCAGCTCGCCCTAGCTTGTCCCAGTCCACAGGTGCTGGGCCCCTCTCCAGCCCTTCCTTGACCTAAGGCCAGAGGCTCCCATTGGCTGCCAGTGGCCCAGTGCCCCAGAAGTTCTGCATTCCGATGCCAGCCACCTAGTCCCTCTGACTTGGGGAAATGACTCCAAGACCAAGAGCAGAGGAGACAGAACAGGACCAGACAGACATACCAGTCTGGGACCCAAAGACATTAGATTTTCTGAGAAGAAATCAGACAAGGAGCAAGAAGGGATGCCTACTCATAGCACTGCAAGGTGAAGCTCCCCTAGCCCCGACCACCGCTCCATCCCCCATCACCATTACCCAGGAGCACCCTCACCTCTCGTTTAACCAGAACCTGCTGGCTTATAACAGCCACAGCAGCATTTATCAGAGCCCCCTGTGTCCCAGGCATTTCTTATCACTTACTCCCACAGCATCTTCAAGGCCATTTTACAGATGAGGAGCCTGAGGCTCAGAGAAGGAAAGTGACCAAGCTCACCTACCAGTGGGCAGCAGGATCAAGTGCAGCTCCACCCACGAAAGTGGCAACGTGCAGAGAATAATGGCACAGACTCTGGAATTCAGATTCAAGCTCTGCCACTTGCCAGTTGTGTGACTTTGAGCAAGTCAGTTAACCTCTCTGTGCTTTGTTCTCCTCATTTATAAAGAGGTTAAATGATGGCATGCACCTCAAAGCATCGTTAGGAGGATTAACTGAGTTCAGACATGATGAAACGTGCTTAGAGCTGGCCTGGGGACACAGTAAGTAGCGCAGAAGCGTTGGCTAATCGTTTTATTATTGTTAGTATCAGGCTTTCAAGCCCACAGCTTTCCACACCCAGCCTGTCACATCACAGAGTCCAGCCACATGGTGCTCGCTATGGTGAAAGGTTGAGCTCACCCCCTTCCTAAACCTCTAAACACCACCTGAAGGACAAAGCCCAAATTCACCCAGCCTGTCACATCACAGAGTCCAGCCACATGGTGCTCGCTATGGTGAAAGGTTGAGCTCACCCCCTTCCTAAACCTCTAAACACCACCTGAAGGACAAAGCCCAAATGCCTACAAGGGGGCTTCAAAAATTTCATGGAAAAACTCTGTTATACTTTTACCTGATTTTCCCATGAACTTTCTGAAGCTCCCTCATTTATCTCACTCCCTGCCTTGCTGAGCCTTTGGGAGATTTGCACACATTGTTTCCTCTGTCTGGAACACTGTTACCAAGCTCTTCACCAGACTGATTCCTCTGGCCTCAGTTGAGATACCTTCTCCAAGAAATCTTTCCGGCTGCCATTGTAAGGTTAGCCCCCTCCTCTGGGTTCCTACAGCCCCCTGAGAATGCGTGCCATTTCCAAATGCTTGGTAGCCAAACAAAACCCACTGCCCTCGACTCACAGTGACCCTATAGGACAGACTCGAAGTGCTCCATAGGGTTTCCGAGGTTGTAAATCTTTATGGGAGCAGACATCTTTCTCCTGTGGAGAACTTGGTGGGTTCCAACCGATGACCTTTCTGTTAACAGTCAAATATATAGCCCATGGTGCCACCAGGGCTCCTTAACTCTAGATACATTGGATTCTAATTGCCTGCTTGCAACTCCAACATGAACCGGCAGGCAAAAGAGTGACTTGACCACCACTGCATTCCCAATACAGGGTCTGGCACACAACCATCTAGAGGCCACATATTGGAGGAGTGGGCGATGGAATGGGTGAAGGGAACCCAAACCCAGAGATGGTACCAGGGGGACAACTGAAGACCCTGGTTGAATGCTTTGGAGACAGGTCCAGACCCTGCCTTCCTTGGGGAGCCCTTGGACATCCCCCAACCCTGGCTCTGCTGAGTCACCTGGTCCAGAAGCACATTCTCAATTCTCTGTGCTTCTCCAGCTCCCAGCTCCTGTCTCTCTTACCATGGCCACAGCAAACCCTCTGAGCCCAATCCGTCCCAACTCAGAGTGCCAAGGAGCTGTGCTCACGGCTCCCAAGCAATCGCCAGTGCCTGGGATCTAGCCTAGTGCTTGGACATCACAGGAATCACAGACAAGGTCACACATCAGCCTTGGAAAAATCCAAGCTCCAGAGTGGCAAAAAGGAGACAACAACCCTCTGGTTCATCCAGCCCACACTATGGTCAGACCCTGTGCTAAGCATTTTCTGCCCCATGTCATTTACCCCTCACAGCAACCCGGTGAGGGAGGACAAATGGTCAGCTCCATTTTACAGATGGAGAAACTGAGGCTCACTGACTTGAACAAAGCAGGCAGATGGTAAGTGATAGAGTCAAGACTAGAACTCACCCTTGGGTTTTCCCTCCCACATTGTACCAGGGTTGTTGTACGAACTTGGAGGAAAGGGATGGTATATTACTTCCAAGATTGACTGTTTACAAAAAATGGTGGTTTCAATCCCGAGTTATCTCTCTCTCTCTCGTAACTAGCTCTGAGAGAAGCCATGTCATGAGTAGCCTTATGGAGAAGCCCACGTGGCAAGGAACTGAAGCCGTCTGCCAACAACCATGTGAGTGAGCTTGGAGTGGCTCCTCCAGCCCACGTCCAGCCTTCCGATGGCTGCAGTCCCTGCCAGCATACTGATGCAGTCTTGTGAGAGACTCTGAGCCAACACCATCCCTCCAAGCCGCACCCTGGTTCTTGACCCTCAGAACCTGTGAGATAACAAGTATGTATTATTCAGTCACAGTGTTTTGTGACCATTTGTTACAAGAGCAAACTCGTACATGGCTGCTTCTCCAATCACCTTTTGTAGCTACATGCTTTGGAGCCGCATGATGCAGACTCCATTTTGGCAGTATATGCAGTGGAATTCTCTTCCTTCTCAGAGGCAGGGCTCAGAGCTGAAGGGGGTGCAAGGGTGGGAAAGGTGGGAGCAAGGGGAACACTCACATCCAACCTCCAGACGGATCTGTGCAGAGGCATCTCCCAACTCATTGACAGCTCGGCAGGTATAGACACCAGCATCCCTCTCCTGAGTTGCCCGGATCCGCAGCATCCCGGAGCTGAGGTCCTCCGGGGCCAGAATCATTTCATGACGCCCTGAACCAAAGATAAGAAAGCACTGGGACAGGTTGGAGGTCACTGTAGGAGGCCAGGGTGTCAGGCTACTTGAGACCTGACGCCCCCAGCTCCTGTGGGTCCATGAGACCAGGCTCCTCTGTGTCAACACTGGAACTGTCCAGCCTCACAATGACCTTTCTGGGGAGCTGATTCCCAGAGCCCCAGCAGACAATTCCCCAGGCCTCCTCCCACTTAGCGTACCTCGGTACCAGATGACCCGGGGCAGAGGCGTCCCCGATGCCTCACACTCCAGCACAGCCTCCTCCCCAACGGCAGCGAGCACCACAGCACTGACAGCAGAGACTGATGGTGGGTCTGTGTGTATATGGGGGGGGCGGGGGGGGGCGGGAGTGTTGTATGGGGAATTTAGGACCAGACCTGAGGTGAGAGAGGAAGAGCCTCTTCCCCACCCCCACCCATCAGGGACAAACACAGCCAGGTTTTTAGACCTTAAATGAGTCACTCTCCTGACCAGCCCCTCTCAATAACTCCCTGTTGATACTCACTGAACCTGGAATACCCTAGAAGGTGCCCAAACACCCACCCCTCATCCCATCTCCACTCACTTCACCTCAGCCTCCTTGAAACCACTGGAGCACACCAGATCCATTCCCACCTCAAGACCTGTGCCTGCCTGTCCCTCTGTCTGGAATACTGTTTTGTCCATAGCTCACCTCCTCAGAGCCACTTCCCACTCACCCCCACCCTCACATCACCCTGTTCTATTCTCTTCAGAGGGTCTTTGCCATCAGAAAGGATCTCAGAAACCTTAGAAAAGAAGGAGAAGGAGGAATGGAAACAAAACACAGGAAGTAGGAGACTTGATGTCCCATTGAGAGGACTGCAATCAATGAGATGAAACAAAATGAGTATGAATTGTCGAATGGAAAACTGATGATCTGCTCTGCAGTCCTTCACTCAGTTCACAATAAAATAAAGATAAAATAATGATGTGCGTCATAGAATAAGCATTTAGCCTCAAGGTCAGTTTGAACTGCAAGCTCTGTCGTTCAAACTCACCAGTTGCTCCTCAGAAACCCTATGCAGGGTCGCTGTGAGTCAGAATCGACTCCATAGCACTTAACAACAATAACGATTGGAAGGGGGAAAAATAAAGCATCTTATTAAATTAAGGTGCCCTAAGGAGCTCTGGTAGCGTAGTGGTTACGAATCGAGCTGCGAACCTTAAGGTCAGCAGTTCCAAACTACCAGCTGTTCCACAGGAGAAAGATGAGGTTTTCTGCTCCCATAAAAATTCACAGCCTTGGAAGCCCTGTACAGGGTCGGAATCAACTCTACAGCACTTAACAACAACAACAACAGTGGTGCTGTGGGTTAATGCACCAGACTGCAAAGCCGTTTGAATTGCAAGGCCGGCGGTTCAAGCTCACCAGCTGCTCTTCGGAAACCCTATACAGGGTCACTATGAGTCAAAATCAACTCGACGGCAATTAACAACAACAACAACAAGTGGTGCTATGGGTTAGGCACTGGGCTGCTAACCACAGATTGGTGGTCGAAACCCACTAGCCACTCCTCTGTAAAGATTTACAGTCTCAGAAACTCAGGGTCACTATGAGCCAGAGCCAGGTCACTGTGGCCTTGGGTTTGGTATCTCACAGAGTTATCGATTTGCCTGTTTGTTTTCTGCCTCCCCTGTTAAGCACAGGCTCCATCTGAACCGAGTCTGTGTGTTCATTGCTGTACCTCAGTGTCTGGCATATAGACTTGTAGTAGTAGTTGCTCAATAAAGATTTGTGGAGAGCAGGAGGGACAGAGGAAGAGACGGGGAGGAACGGAGGGGAAGGTCCCGAGTACCTGTGTAGTACAGAGTGACAGTCTTCTTGTCTGTGCCAACTTCATTAGCAGCCTGGCAGCTGTAATTCCCAGCATCTTCAGGAGCCACTCCCTGAATGATCAGTGTTCCCTGGGCATCCACAAGGACTCTGGAGTCATGCCATAAAAAAACAAGTCCCACAGCAGGTCACACAAGAGGGTGTTCTACAACCATCACTAATAACAAATGCACTCACATCCCCAGTAACCAAATTCTCCACTGACTGTTATTCTGCTCTCGGCTGGGCCCTTTCCATACATTGCCTTAGCTCATTCACAAGGCTCAGGGAGGTGACAGGATTTGTCCAAGGTCACCAGCCTGCATGGATCCATCAGTCTCAGGAGCCATTGTTGTCTCTTGATGTTCCTGAGACTCAAATAATCCCATGGGGAAGGCGAGGCAAATGTAACTCTCCCATCCAACTCCCACAGAGGTAACATGGCCCAGGTACCCTGGGATCCTTGTGTCCTGGGCCCTCACCTGCTGTCCTCTGTCAGGGCATGGCCTTCTCGGCTCCAGGAGATGTGGGGTGTGGGGTACCCAGAGGCTGAGCAGCTGACCCTCACCTCCACACCCTGAGAGAAACGCTGGGACCTGGTGTGGATGCTGACCTGTGGGGCCTCTGCGGTCCAAAGAGTAGACAGGCAGGGAAGAGCTCGTCAGAGCAGCTGGCCCATCATCCCAGGAACCCAGACCCAGCCCCTTCCCCTTTTCCTGTGTCCACAGATGGGTTAGACAGAAAAAGCAAATGCCCACAGGGCCTGATCCCTCCAGCAGTGGCTTCCCTGGAAATGGGTGGTTCAGGCAGTCAGTCACAGAAAGCATCTCCTCTCAAGTCATAGGGGCAGCAGTTTTTCCAATGCCCCTCAGCCTGAAGTCCTTCTCAGAGAGATTCAAGATGTCAGGGTTGAGATGGCTCTGTCTGGTCCCCAGGGACCTTTCTGTGGTTCCCAAGGCCTGCCCCAGAATTGGACCCAGATGTATGTTCTATAAGGGCTCTCTGGAGCTCACAGTACAACAGATGTGTCTGGTTCAAACAGGAGTCTTAGCCATCTCATCTAGAACTGGCAGGTGCACCCTCTCCCACACCTGTGACCGACATCGCTAGCCGATCTCCTTCCTGCAGAGCCTGACTATGGCCTCAATGCCTTCTCAACATACTTCAGGTAGCCACAGCCAAGTAAGAATCACTGCCATAGGAGAGGAAACTTGTTCCAACACTCTTATTTTCACACTTGGAGAAAGAGAGTCCTAAGATCCTAAAATGGAGAATCTGTCTAAATCCCGGATAGATTTGAGGCCATGACCTGAATCTCCCAACTCCCTGAGCAGTGTTTTTTCCACTGTTTCCTCCACTCCATCTGGTTGCTGTGGTTTAACCCCTGCTTGGGCTTTCACAAGTTTCCAATATCATAATACCTGCCCTACACTGAGAAAATGAGCAACAGAGGCACTCAATGGCAGGAGAAAAGGACAAGGCAAGATGAAATTGGCCTGGCCTGTAACAATAAATTGCTATAAATTGGTTTGGTTTTTGGTTTCATAGTAGAAACTCAGGTTAGATATTAGGATGAACTTCTAGACAGTGAGAACCACTAGACTTTGGCACAGGTGGTCACAGGAGGCTACAGAATCCTCTCTCCCTACAAATTCAGAAAACACAGGAAAGGCTGACGTTGTCTGCCAGAGATGAGTCTGGGGCAGAGGAATGAGGTTGATGTCTTCTATGGTAAATGCTAGGTAATGTGTGGAATTATAGGAACAGCAGTAACAAGAAGAGCCTCACCTCTCACCAGAAGCCAGACGGATGCCCTTGTGACCCCATTGGCATTGCTGGCCACACACTGGTACCTTCCGCCATCACTAGGAACGATGTCACTGATCTCCAGGGATAGGTCAGCCAGTTGGGTGACTCGGCCCACAGAGGCTGGCAGAACCCGCCAGTCCCGAATCCAAGTCAAGTTGTAGGGTGCCTCACCGAGGACTTGGCAGGACAGGGTGGCAGTCTCCCCTGGTGACACAGTCACGTTGGGGGTAGGGACCAGCTGTGGTGGGGGATCTGCAGAAATATGAGCAAAGGAGGGTCTGAGGCATTGGCAAGAGTGGGCAACCATCTTGCAGGCCCTGGTGGGGTCCAAGCTCTGGAAGCTGCAACATACACCATGTCCCTGAGGACACGTCGCTGACAAAGCAGTTACCCAGCATCTGTTCTCCATCCCAAGGACGGCGCCACCCTGGGGAGGGCTCCTTCTACCCCTGCCATCACACCCTCCCAGGGCTGCGTGGCATGTGCGTGCCTTCCATGCCAACACCAGCCGCAATATTAAACAAGTGCTCCACCACTCTTCACATCCTCTGAGCCGATAATCCCACCCTGGGGAATAAAGCCTTGGAACTAACCCAAAAGGGCGAACATGTAATGTGTACAAAGCTACTCTGTGCAAACCGCAGAATAACAGCCAAAGTTTAGAATCTGGTCACTGTCTCAAATGAGGGAGAGCTAAGCAAACTGCTATCTTGATAGGAAAAAAGCCTTAAGAGTGATTGTTCAACACAGGAATAACCTGGACCCAAACAACATTTCAGGAGGTAATCACCAGATCTTTTTTCCTAGTCTGTCTTAGTCCTGTTGAAACCTATTTGATATCATAACAACACACAAAACTCCACTGAAGCACGGATGGTGGCTGAACATAAGGTACATTGATCGGGAATCAAACTCAGGTCTCTCGCTTGATGGTGAGAATTCTACTGCTGAATTACTAATGACATTGTTAAGATATTAATAATTGTTAAATCTAAGTAATGGATGTATACATTTTATAGTATTCTCTTCTGCTTTTCTGTGCTCATAATTTATTTTTTTAAGGTAAAATTTTGTTAATTCATGCACATTTTACTTATTGACATTCTATATTGTTGGGTAAGGAGCTCTGGTAGCGTAAGGTAGTGTAGTGGTTACAAGTCGGGCTGCTAATCTCGCGGTCAGCAGTTCGAAACTATCAGCAGTTTCATGGGAGAAAGATGAGGCTTTTTGCTCCCGTAAAGATTTACAGTCTCGGAAACCCTATACAGGGTGGCTGTGAGTCAGAACCGACTCCACAGCACATAACCATTACCACCATATTGTTGTGTGATGAGCAGGCTGTTGGTCAGTATAACATCATCCTATCTTTGTTAAAAGTACACACAGGGACTACATGGAGATGCTTTTGAGGATATCGCTATAGAGTGGAAGGGGTACAAATTATTTTGATCTTCTTTTTGCTTGTTTATATTTTTCCAACCTTTCTATAAGGAACATGTGTCTTTTTTATAACTAAGGAATGTGGAGTAGCTCATCTTTCCAAGTTTGTTAGGTTCCTTTTCTTCTCTTCAAGACTTACGAGATTACAATAAAACACCAACTTCATTGGTCAGTTTGAACTCCAAAGTTGGCAGTTCAAACTCAACAGTCACTCCTCAGAAAGGCCAGACAGGGTTGTGAAGAGTCGGAACTGACTTGAAGGCACTTAACAACAACATAGGAGTCTTCCAATTTCCCAGAGCTTAATGCCACCATCCTGAGTGAGAATCTGGAGGGGATGAGGGGCATGGGACAGCAAGATCCCTGAAAGTACCTGGGGTCAGCCACACCCCAAAGTCCAAATCAAGAAGTCAGGGGTGGGTGGGGTTAAGGCTGGTGGGGTGGGCATGACCAGAACCAGAGTTCTAAACCTTACTTGAACTGAGACCCACAGGCCATTCCTAGGGTAGACAGACCCCAATGGGGGGCCTGCAGGCAGGCAGAGCCAGACTCTGGATGGTGGATAGTCCCAGCAGTTGGTTGGCTGGCACACTGTCACATGGATGGGGCCATCCCAGGAGTAAATCCGAGAGAGAAGAATCTAGCTAGAGGTGGGAAGGAGGACTTGGAGGAACTCAAAAGACAGACCTGTGATGACAACCTGGGCCTTTGCTCGTCCAGTCCCAGCCCTGCTGACTGCCGTGCATTCATATGTCCCCTCCTCACCCTTGGAGGCCCGTGGGATCTCCCAGCTGCTGTTTCCTGATGCCCTGTGAACAGGGAACAACAGAAGACACACAATCACACTGATCCCCCCAAGTCTCATATACCCCTCAAGGACAAGAGAGACCCCAAATTCTCTGTAAGGCTAGCTAAAAAGAGATGGCAATCAAGACCTTGCAAATTTCATGATCAGCAAGCATGACTTTGGGTAAGCTCCTTCCCCTCTCTGAGCTGTGGACTTCTCTCCAAAGGGGAGGGTCTTAGAGGGTCCTTCCTGCCCTGACCCCCATGGAGTCCTGTCATAAGCCAGGCCCTGTGTGGACTGCATTTTCCAGAGGCAGAGGAAGGCCTATGGCTTTCCTAAGATCCCTCTCCCATCACTCACTCCCCTCAGATCCCTCCAGGCCAGGATGTCAGGGTCCAGATACTGGCCACTCACTGGAAGTGCCGCTCCTCGCCAAGCTTGGTTCCATCTCGCAGTAGCTGCAACTTGAAGGGGAGGGCGCTATGCACAGAGCAGGAAACAAGCAGGGGCTGCTGTAGGTAGCCGTGGATCCTGGGGGGCATGCTGACCAATGGGGTGCCTGCAGGCAAGGACTAAGACTCAGGGTTCCTCACAGAGATTTGTATGGAGGAACCAGAGCCAGAAAACCACAGGACTCAAGCGCTGACTCCACCACTTAGTGGCCATCTTGAACAGATTGCTTCACCTGGCTAAGCCTCAGTTTCTACCTCTGTGAAACAGGAGTAATCACAGTACTAACCTCATTCTGTTCTGGGAACGAGTGAGAAAGGATGCATGGAAGGACTTGGCATGATGCATGACACATGGGAAGCGCCATCAACTGAAGCTGGTATTACTTTCTAGTTTATGAGACTGGCCAGATGGACAAGTCTATTCGTGACTCTGGGTCACCAGTTATTCAAGTGTGTTTAACACAGAAGTTAGACCTATTCAGAAAGCTGATGAAATACTACCCAGGCTGTGATCCAGCTCGCCAGGGGTGCAGGCGGGGCTGTGCAACTGCTTGGCAGCCTGGAGGGTCCCCTTTTTAAATTTTTGACAATAAACATCATTGAGGCATGACTGCGAAGGCAAAATTCACACACATTTTTAAGATAAAATGAAAGACTTCAGTTAAATCTCACAGCATAATAAGCCCCTTGGGGCCCCCATCAGACACTGCTGCCTCCCTCCTCGATACTTGGACTTGGGATGACACATTTGCTTTCGTTGGCTGTTGGAATTACTTCAGTGGAAAGGTCTGAGAAACTCCACCACGGGGTCAACTGCAGCCTGAGAGTGTCTCACTGGGTAACCCCTCAGGCCTGAAGTCAACTTCTTATGTTGTCCTCTCCCCTCTCCAGTGCAGAGATGCTCCAAGGCTGAGACAATGCGCCAGACCTCTTCAAAGCACTAAGCTGGGAGTGGGGAGGAAGGCAGTGACATCATGCTATAGGCTCCCTGCCACATCCCCTGGGAGACGGGTGTCAAACCATTTAGCCACATCCTCAATGTAGTACAAAGCTGTCACCACTCACCCACACACAGCATAGCCAGTTTGGGTTCCCTGCTTTCCATGAGCCGAAAGGGCTCAGAGACCACAGGCCCATATCTTCAAACTCAGGACCTACGCCTCCAAACCAAGCTTCCAGCCTCCCAGACATAGAGGGTTAGGAAAGAGCAAAGGCCTAAACCACATCCCTCCTCTTTTATCTAGAGCTGAAGTGGAGACTAAAAGCCAGAGTTGAAAGGATGGGGGAGAGAAAGTAAAGACTATTATTTCTCTTCTGAAACTCCTTCCTGAAAATTCTTCCCCAAAGTTGCAAAGACCAAAGGAAAAGAGGCCCAAGCATCTCAGCAGGAGGATGTAAAAAAATGGATCCCAACTTCCCCACTCAGACCTGCCCTACCCCACCCAGGTCCTCAAAACCCCCTCAAGAGCTACCCAGAAGAGGGGCGTCTTCCCTCCCTCTATCCCTTTCTGAGGTGGACAGAGGAGACCTCATGGAGACCTCTGACAAAGAAAATGTCAGTAACATCCACCTGTGTGAGCTCCTCCCAGGTCACCTCCAGAAGAAGAGAGGGGAGTGGGTGGAAAGATGGCAAATTACGGCTGCCATGTGTAAAGTGCCCTAGTCCAAACTCCCACAGTCTGAGTGAGTCTCTGAGCATCTGTGTGCTGTCTTATGATGTGTGTTAGCTTGAGGAAACCTCAGAGTAGCCCTGCAAGGTGAGTGGTGTCCGTTTGCTGGTCTATAAAATGAGATTTGCAAGCATTCAGTGAGTTAGCGCATGGCAAAGACTGACCTATGGGCAGTTCTCAAAAATGGTTGCTAGAATAAATATTCCCCTGATAATAAGAATAATGATGATGATGTCTTCTGTGTCTCCAATGCCTAACACCACGGCTGGTATATATTTGTTGCTGCTGCTGCTGTTGTTGTTGTTGTTGCTAAGTACCGTCGAGTCGGTTCCGACCCATAGCAATCCTGTATAGGGTTTCCAAGGAGCAGCTGGTGAGTTTGAACCACGGACCTTGCAGTTCAAATAGCTTTGCAGTCTGGCACATTAACTCACAGCGCCACACCAGGACACACAGTATATAGTAGATACTAAAAATGAATGTTGGATAGGTGAATGGATGGATGACTAAGTCCTTGAAATGAGGACCACATCTGAAGTATCTCCAGTATTTAGCATAATGACTTGCAAGGAATATGTAACTTAACAAACAAACATTTGCTGATATAAATATAATCAAGGAAGCATTCCACGAAGAGGTGGGCTTCCAAGGGAGCCCGCTGGGCTGGAAAATAAAAAAGTCAACCACTTACCTGGAGCCACCCCACTGTACGCAACTCCAGAGACACGAAGGAGTGGGTTTCCCTCATGGTCCTCGCCCTTCACCTTGAGGTAGAAACGTTCCTGGGGGGCTTGGAAGGATGGCCCACCCCACAACTGATGGGTAGATTCATTGGAGAGGAGCTTTGTGGGAAAAGTCAGGAGGGACCGTCCTGAGCTGTGGGCGAGCTCTACCGAGTCTAGACGGCCTGGTGCCTGCAGGCCCGTGGAGTTTATCACCAGGGAGATGGGCACTCCTGCAGAGGAAAGGTGAGGGAAGAGGTACTGGCATCTGTGGTGGTCTCCATAGTCCTCCCCAAGCAGGGGCCTAAGGGCCACAACTGAAGGACCCAGCCTTCTTGGCCCTCTTTCACCCACTCCCTTGCCTTCTCTGCCCTGTTCCAGATAATGCCAGGGGTACAATAAGTATAGAGGGGCCCTTGTTACTGTCCATGGTCCTGACACACCACTGCCATCAGGCCATGCTTTGCAAATGGTTGCATTTCCTCCATCTCCACAGACTCTATCTCTCATGGAGCAGAACTGAAAGGGACGTTTCTCTCCACCACCATTTGTTTGGGGGTTGGCCACCACCAGGAAAACTTCTGGGAACAGCCTCTGATAAGATACACACCCTAGTTTGAGGCTCTGACTTCTGCCCATCCTCAAGGCTCCACTTCTCTTTGATTTTCCTATCTGGATGTAAATGTGATACTTTTCACACTATCCTATGATAAATGGAACTGGACTCCAGTTTCATAATTTCCTTAGTTGGTTTTGGAACTTTTGTCAAGTCTCTATCTTTTCAGACAGTTATTCTTCTCTCTCTCAGAGATCACAAACCTGAGACCTGTGGATACGGTTGGTTAGGTCCACAAAATGCCTTAAATTTTTTGAAGATACATTGTACAAACTGGAAAGTACACATAAAAATCTAGATGCCCAAATTCTTTTGAACATTGAAATGTGTCCATCTTAGGCCTCCAGGACCACATTGTGACAACCCACTCCCTGTGGTCAATTCACTGTCAAATTAGCATAGCCGCCTCCATTCCCTCAGCCCTGGTGTCAAATATCAGTCACTGTTCATCACTGCTGTCACCCTGTTGGCTCTCTTTATAAAATTGTCTTGGACCCACCATCTCCATGAAAAAGCAGAATTGCAAAGGAGGGTCACTTGGCTCCCAGCACCCACTTCCACAGGGGACTGGTCATGGGTGCATTTCAGTTTTCTATCCCCACTCTAGTACTGCATTTAAAGATTTCTTTTTCTCTGCAAGGCTGATTTTAGAAAAGGGCCTACATTTCTCTGCTTCTCTTATAGTTGCTATTGACTAAACAACCTTAGCCCCCTTTTAACTTTAAGGAAAACCAACTAGGGCTGACAAGAATAGCAGACATTACAGATTACAAGTTCAAAAGAATGATCTAAGAGTTTGATACACTTCACCCTTGGTCACTAGTGGTCCAAGGGCAGGTTCCTTCCAGCCCTTTTCTGAACTACTGTTCCAGCAAATTCTGCCAAGTGGCCCCATGATGGAGAACTGTGTTTTTCCAAACCCCAAGTTGGGACCCCTGATCTGCCCATCAGATGGTATTTTCTGGTGTGGAGCAGGAACAGGGCACTCAGGCATCCTCAGATCCAGCCGGGCAGTTTCAGTCAGGAAACGCAAGACACTGTGCCTCCAACTCCAGCATCCACCCAGGCTACCTTAACCCTCATCAGTTCCTGGGGAATCTAAGTGCCCACCAGGAGATGCATTCCTTTGTATAAGGCAGGGGACCCCATGCTTATTAGTATTCTTATTAATATTATTTTGTTCAACTAACATAGCATTTATTAGAAAACTTGGGACTTCTGACATACAAGTTTTGACAAAAAGAAAGGGGAAGTACAGTTCAGAGTTTGTTAATGATCACCAAGGGCAGGTAGGAGTTATGACTTAGGGGCAGTGATATTCTATTTGTTGTTGTTGTTGGTAAGTGCCGTCAAGTGGGTTCGACTCATAGCCACCTTGTATAGGGTTTCTGAGAAGCGGCTGGTGAGTTTGAACCACCAACCTTGCAGTTCAAACCAACATTTCAGTCCAGTGCTTCATCGTACAGTGCCACATCAGGATTCTGGTTTTCTGTTTAGGAGGATGGAAATATGGTGATGGATAGTGTTGGTGGTTGCACAGCATGGGAAACATAATGTCACTGAATTATATGCAATAATAGCTGAAATAGCAAATGTTTTGTTATATATATCCACAATAAACAAAGAAGGAAGAAATGAAAGAATAGAGAGGAAGGTGTAAACTCAGTAATAAGGGGGACAGTGCAGAGGTTCTGGAGACCTTTGGTTGCAGAGAAGATGTGTTAAGGACAAATTGTGTGGGCTGGGGCTGATGGAGGTGATGCTGATAAAACTCAGTTGACATGATTGATGTGGGAGAAATGGTCTGGCTTTAGCCTCTGCTGTGCCCATAGTCACACACAGACAGCCCAAGCCAGACCCTGAGCTCCCATCACTTCCCAAAGTCAAGTCCTATCTCTTCAGAAGGTAACTCAGCACACCTCCAGGGCCAGGACCTCAGTACCTTGTAAGGGCCACTCAATGGTGTGATTGAGGTCCAAAGAGGGTTGAGTAGAGAAACCGGCTCGGAAGTCGATGTTGCTGATGCCTGTGATCCTCACAGAGTGACGGCCGCTGCTGTAGACCTAGAACAGGTGTTCGTCATCACCAGAGGATCCAGCCCCAGCACCCCAGCCCTATGAGAGGAGGTGGTCAACCTGATCAAACTCTGGGCTGTGAGAGGTTGCTACACTCAAGGAACAGCCTTTACAGACAAGTGGACAACTTACCTGCACCTTGGGGTCCAGTATGACACTCCCTAGCTCACAACACTATCCTGAGTAAGGATCTTGAATCTGCCTACCTTTCCAGCTCTCTCCTGTTTCTGCAGGCCCTGCCTGTCCCTCTGCATATCTAACCCTCTGTTTTGCCTGCCCACTGGCTTGTATAGCTCATAGGTAAAAGAAGTTGAGGGTTTGAAAGGAAGGCAGATGGTTAATGCTGATACCTTATCTGCAGGCCCTAGCACAGTGCCTGGTCCCCAGGAGGTGCTCAGTAAACGTTTTCCAATCAGCAGTTGCTCACCTCCTTCCAAAGTAGCCACATGCCCCATACTGGGATGCTTCGCCCTAGAGGCCTTCCTCGCCAGGAGCCAAGCCTGTCCCCAGTGCTTGGCTTCCAGCACCTTGCAGATTAGAGTAGGCCCTGCTTCCTCTGTCATCCCTGTCCCTCTGAATCATTCTTCCAAAGCCACCCTGGTTTCTTTTGTGCATTCTTCACAGGATGGTTCTAAGCCATAAACCAGCTTGGTCACTTACCTCTGGACACTCAAGTTCCTCCAAGTCCTTAACAGTTACCACATAGGTCCTGCTCACTGGTACAAACAGAATGCCCCTCCTTTTGTTCTTGGCCCTTTACTTTGACAGGTAAACTTTAGACATCACCACCCCATAGCTCAGCTTCCCTGGGCCCCAGAGACCCCAGAGCAAGAAGGAGGGAGAAGGCGCCACAGTTCAGTCAAGTGTCTCCCCCAACCCAGTAATGCCTACCTTGATGGACCACAGCCCAGGATGCTCAGGCTTAAAGGCCACCACTTTGGCCGAGTCGGGGATATTGAGGAGCATGTTGAGACCCTCATCCTTCTGTAGGATCCTCCCTGCAGAAGCCCCAAGGACTGCTCAGTCCCCAACCCTTTTTTATGGGTGATAAGGGCCCCCACCCTACCCCCAAAAGCCCTTGGTCAACCATACATCAGCCTCAGGCTTCTTGGAGGAAGACATGAGGGCCTTTGACCCTTGGTGGTCCTCACATTCCACCCCCTTCTGTGCTCCACTATCACCCCTCCCCAGGTGCTAGCTGTACAGCTGACTTTGAGATCTGTATATTCATGATATTTTCAGAGCTTTGTGGAGTCAGGTGACTGGGTCCAAATCACATTGACCATGCCTGGCTGAGTGATCCTAACAAGTCACCTCCCTTTCTCAGAAACCCAGCTTCCCACCTAAAATTGTGCTGCTCATTCTTGTTCTGATCAGCCCACAGGTAATGTGTGAGACACCCCAGGGACTCCAGGGACTGACATTATTTTCGTTGCTGTTGCTTGGTTGTTACTTGTCTATCTGCCTTCTGACCCACCAAGGGTGCCCTGGCCCTCTTGACCCTCCCCTAGGAGTCCCTCCAACCTGCCTTGTTCCTGGAGCTTGTGTCTGAACTCCTGCTATACTGGATGTCTTTCTTGTTCTAATGAAGCTCTTAAATCAGTCTCAGAGTCAAAGAGGAGGCCCACCAAGGGGCAACACATACCCAGCGGATCACGGACTTCGATCTCAGGCCCTGGCCCACTCAAGGAGACAGTGACCTCCTTCAGACTAGAGTCAAAGGGGATCCTCCACATGTGCTCGCCCTCCTTCTCATGGTCTGTGGACAGCAGGTGCACCTTAGAGGCCTGGATCGCTGACTCCACCCACTTCAGCACCTGGGAGACAGGTACAATTAGCTGATGCCAGCAGGTGCCCATAACCTCTTGCTTGTGTCTGGTCCATCCAAGGTGGGGTCCTTAACTGGCTGCCAGCTGCTGGTAGAATCCAGTTTCCCATGGGTTTTAAGGTTGTGTTTAAGATTCTGATCAATGAAGGCCACACCAATCCCCATTGCCTACACCAGGCCCCACTCATATGTTCTTACCCTTCTGGTTTTGTAGGCTCTGAGTTGTGATATTAGATTCAAAGCATTGAGAGGCCTCAGCTCAGGGAAGAAACAAGAGGGTGCTTCTTGGCTGAGTAGCCTCTTCCCACCTTCTTCATCTGGCCAACTTCTACTTTACCCATCACTTCCTCCAAGAAAGTTTTGTGATGCCTTCAGGGCATGTAGTTCATGCTTACCAACCAAGGGGTCTCAGACTATGCCTCTCCCCCATCCCTGCCCAGGCACCTTGCTTTTGAAGCTGAGCCTTGAGAATCTACTACAAAGTCATTCAGGATCTCTTCCCAAATTCACAAAAGATGAGGAGAGGAATTAGTGGCCTGGTTTTCAAAATGCTGAGAAATCTTAAAACCTGGATTTATATTATTGCTTGCTCAATCTAAAATCTTGTTTCCTCTTGAGAATCAAATAAAAGCTAAGGGTCCTCTCCCTAGGTGTGATTTTAAGGGGCTCTTAAACTCTCAAAAGCACCTCATGACTCCAAGACCATGTGAGCCCATGACCCCATGTTAACAACCCTTGAAACAATCTAAGATAGTATCTGATTGAGCACAAAATTTTGTTTCTCCAAATCCTTATCATGGACTTCAATATGCATATATGTACACACCTAGAAGCAATGACACGCCAATATGCCAATATTAATGACCACTCCTAGTATTCACATCCTAGTTTTATAATACCATTCCTCACTAAAATAAACTTAGGTTCCTTAGAGAAATGGCTGATTTCCAGTATGGGACAGGAAAATTTCAAGGTAAACCTGAGAAAATTAAATTTTCCATAAAGCAAGGAAGTACTCAAAGATAGCATAGTGGTTACAAATCAGGCTGTGAACCTCAAGGTCAGCAGTTCAAAACTACCAGCTGTTCTGCAGGAGAAAGATGAGGCTTTCTGCTCCTGTAAAGATTTACAGCCTCGGAAACTCTGTACAGGGTCGCTGAGTCGGAACTGACTCCATGGCACATAACAAATCAAAAAGACTTAGAAAGTAAAAGGAGCGCCTGCTGGCTACACTGGGACAACATGAGTCCCCCTGATCCCTTGCCCCCTACAAAAAGAAGAATGACTGCAATTATATACTCCATGTGTCCATAGGATACTCAAAAAGAGAACTCAAAATCCAAAACAAATCATAACCAAAAACAAAAAAAACCTCTTTGTGATGACTTCTGAATTAAAGAGAAAGAACTGAATACTCCCTGCCTTTTCAAGAGGGCTTGTCCTTCGGAGAAACCAAAGCATCCCTTTTGTTGAGCCAAAGCTCTTCATCATGGAAGAATGCCAGCTAATAAATGTGGAAAGAATGATGAAATTAGGAAATCATCATTTTGCAATTCCTAATGAAATAATTGTTTCAGCCAAGGTTCCACACTGGCTGCTAAAGCCATTAGAGGAAAGGTGGATGGGGTCCTGGGTGTCTGCAGGGAGCCAGTGCATTACTCCACAGACCAGTTGAGTAATAAAGGGAGACACATAGCTTTACAATTTACAGAGCTGCCTGTCACCACCTTAACCTAGTCATCAAACTTATCATCATTAATAGCATGATGATCGGGCATTATTTGCCTCCTGTGTGATGCAAAAGAAAATGCACACAGCACCTACTATAAAGTATTCCTGACAAAAATGTTAGCCTCTTCCCAGTAAGTCCTTTTATATAAGTCCTAGGTTAGGGGAGACATAGGAAACAAAAAAAGAGGACAAAAACAACTTAATGACTCCATAAGGAAAAAATGAGATAAATCTGGAACACAGGACATTATATAAATCAATGTCTCTTCAACAAGGTGATGTCATTGAGGAATAAAAAAAAAAAAGGAAAGATGAACTGCATTCGATTTGAGAGGCTTTTATAGACATAACAGCCCAATGAAATGTACAATCCTTGATTAAACCCGGTTTAGTAAAAAGACATTTTGAGGACAATTAGGGAATTTGAATGTGGGCTGAGAATTAGATGGTATTAGGAAACAATTCTTCATTTTACTAGATGACACTGTAGTTGTATCTGAGTTTTGTTTTTTTAAGATTCAGGCTGAACTATTTATGAATAAAGTGTTATGAATTGAACTGTGTTTCCCAAAATATATATATTAAAATCCTAGCTCCTATATCTGTAAATATGGCCCTGCATAGAAATAGGGGTTTTGTTTCATTATGTTAATGAAGTCATACCAGACTAGTTGTTGTTGTTGTTAAGTACCATGGAGTCAGTTCCTACTCATAGTGACCCTGCACAGGGTTTCCGAGGCTGTAAATCTTTACGGGAGCAGAAAGCCTCATCTTTCTCCCGTGGAATGGCTGGTAGTTTCGATCTGCCGACCTTGAGGTTACCAGCCCAATTTGTAACCACTACGCCACCAGACTAGAGAGGGTCATAAATGTAATCATGTCTGAATTATAAAAAGCACAGAATAGATTTTTAAAAAGACACACACAGGGGAAGAGGAAGACAGACAATGGAGAAAAATGTATCTTCAAGCCCAGGAACTTTAAGGATTGCCAGCTACTAGAAGTTAAAATAAGGAGCCCTGGTGGTGCTATACATTCATCATTGGACCACAAAGTTGGTGGTTCAAACCCACTAGTTGCTCTGTAGAAGAAAGATGAGGCTATCTGCTCTGTAAAGATTTACAGTCTTGGAAACCCTGAGGAGCCATTCTACTTTCTTCTATAAGGTTGCTATGAGTTGGAAATGACTTGATAACAGTAGGCTGTATGTGTGTGTGTGTGTGTGTGTGTGTGAGTTCTGTTGTTGCTAGAAGTGGAAATAAACAAACAAGGACTTCTCTCTCTGGAGCCACACCCTGAATATGGGCTCCTAGTCTTCTGATTGTGAAAAAAATTAATTTCTGTTCTTGAAAGTCACCCACTTGTAGCATTTCTATTACAGCAGCCTAGATAACAAAAACAGGTGTCATGATTCAGCAAAATGTACACAGAGAAGTAGATGAAGCAAGCAGAGCAAAAATGTGAATGATAGCTGACTCCAGCGGGTAGCAGGGCTGCAGACTGATTCATTCCAGTTTGATGACCTGGTGAAAATTTGAAGAATTTGCATTTCACCCCAAATCTATTGAGTCAGAATCTACATTTTAACAAGTATCCCTTTCAAGACCAGAAATTTATTTTTTCATAGTCAAGAGACTAGGAGTACAAATTCAGGATGTGACCCTAGAGGGACGTCCTTCTTTGTTTATTAGAGCTCCTGTCATTAGAGTTCCTGTGCTTGGAGATCCATCTGTCTCCATTGTCTGTCTTCCTCTTCCCCCTGTGTGTGTCTCTGTGTCTATTTTATATACGTAAGAATCAACTGGGGCTCTATAAAAATTACCTGGAGATCTTGATAAAATGTAGACTCTGATTCAGTATCTCTGGCACGCAAGTACAAATGTTCAGCAGGGAGTCAAACTAGAGTGAACTGGTTTGAAGCTCTTGGTAGGCATATTCTTTTTTCACTTTTTTTATCTTTGAAATTTTTCATAGTATCTTTAAGTAACAGTCATTTTTAAAGAACAAGTATGCCACGATTTTCAAATACATCTAAGCAAACATAATGGATTCCTAATGTTTGTCAACTCTAATCAAGTGAGAATGGCTTCCTGAAGTACTATACTATTCTTAGAAGAAATGCAAGGCTTTCAGCATCAATCAGAAAGAGCTCTGTGACTGATTAGTGATGTCTGTCATGAGTGTGGGATTAGAAAATCATGTCTCGTATGCTACATCTTTGCATTCTTGTTCTAAATTAAAGTTCTTTGGCTCTACCTGCCATGTGATCTTCCTTAGAAGAGAAGGTGAAAAGAAATGAATTAGAGATTTCTTAAGATTTAGGGGGATTTTTTTTTTTTTTTAATTCAGACTGAGCTGGAAATTTGTGGTTAAACTTCAGCTATCACAGGATAAGAATGCTGTGTTCTCAAAGCTCATCTGTTGCTTAACTTGGAACTACTTCCTTCTTTTGTGTTTCCTAACTTTCTATATAATGTTTCTTCTGAAAAGATCCCACCTGCAATTGTTGAGGATTGGGGAGAAGGTACTTCATCCACGCGGGGGTGGATTGGAAGGACGCAGCCGCCAAGGAATCCCAGCTGGAAAGTCGGGCAGAAACTAGCCAACTAAGCAAGACAACTCCCCCAACAGCAAAGTAGCAGCTATGACTACTGCCCTCTTTCCCCAGGGCTGGGTCTTGTCAGGGACCAGGAAGAAACTGTAACTGAGCAAAGTTACCAAAAGTGGTGGCAGTACAAGTCAACAATTAGCTTGACAAGTCACACCCGCTTCTGTGTTGCAACTGTAGCTACAAGCTTGTTCTAGGATGTTCTGCTGCAGGGAAGATGCCCAGGAAGGAGTTCAAGCTACTGAACCAAGAAGAGGACTGAGACACAGGACAGAATACCAGTGATCCCACTAAAAGGTGGGCTTACCCTACGTGCACAGCACCATTCAAAAGTTGAGGGCCTACCCTCTTGCCCACAGCAAAGCTACTTGCCCTGTAGGTCCAGGCCTGGAGGCAAGACCCTCTAGACCTTATGATGCCCCCAGGGCTCTAGAGCAGAATCTAGGGAACCTTCTGAGCAGAGAGACTTCATTAGGCAAGCTTAATGTTTACTTGGCGATGGCAATGACTTCCAGATGTCAGCGGGACAAGGGGGGTCTGGAATCAGCGATGCATTAGGGCTCATCTCTGTCGTTGATGGGGAAGGAATGAAAGAATCTGGCACTGCTGCCCTGGCCAGATGGCTGCTGCTCGCCGTTCTACAGATAAAT